GCAGATGCCTTTCTTCTCCCCTGGTTCAATCATCTCCTATATGCATTCCCTCTTGTTCCTCCAATTCCAAGGATACTAAGGAAACTGAAGAGAAACAAAGCAACTTTAATCTTAGTGGCATTAGCCTGGCCAAGGCGCTACTGGTTCATGAATCTACATTGGTTTTCCATCACATCTCCAATAACTGTGCCCTAGTCAAGGATCATCTGTCTGAAAACCAGGGCAGGTCCCTGCATTCCAGTCTCCAATCTCTCCACCTCATGGAATGGATGATCTTTGGTTGAATGCTCACGAGAGATTGTGCTCCTGAGATGTTCAAGCCAAAAACAAATTTTAACTTCTCTTTATCTGTAAAATGTGTAAGAATCTAAATAAATCAGTTCTTATTTACTTAATTATTTTCAGTCTCAAGTTTCTACAGGTTTTATTATAAACTGAAGTTAACAACTCCTTAAATTATGAGATATATCTTGACAACTTTTCTATTAACCTACATTGCCCACTTTAAATTAAATCTTTGCTTTGACTGGCATAAATGATAGTTTCTATAGTTATTTTAAAACACGTCTCTTCCCCCTATCTAAATTAATTTTCACCAATACAAAAATGCTTGGTTAGTTTGTTTCATGCATTTTCTTTAAAAAGTTACTAAGCCAATTTAAACTCTGTCAGGCATTCTCCGACTGGGAATACTACTACTTTGCTGCTCCTCACACTGTTCAGTCTAGACAGAACATCAGGATTTAGCAATGGCCTGGCACTAGATGAGGTATTTATATGGTCTCCATCACGATGGTGTCTGAGCACATCACAGTCTTTAGTGCATTGTGGCATTGAGGTAGGGGTGTCACATTATACGGATGAGAAACTGAGATACAGAGAGACTAAAGTCACTCAAGGTCCCAGAAGAGAAATTGAACCACGGTCTCCTGAATGCCAATATAACATCCTGTCCAGTGGAGCATCCTCCGTCTTATCAAGGTCCTCTAACAGCTATGCCGAAAGTGTGGCTTTGTCCCTAACCCTAAATATCGTATTTTTCTAACGTTGGGGGAATTTTCTTTAAGTTGCACACTTCCTGGTTGTGGAAAAGGGTCTCTCTTACTCTACTGATGATGTAGGAGAGGGCTCCTGTGTAGACAGGAAGTGGGGCATATGTTGGGGGTGTTGCAGAAGTCATGCTAAAACATATGCGACAGTGAGCAGGGGATCTTTGACTTTTCCCGCCCCAGTAGTACCTAGTTTTGGGGTTTGGACCCCATATTGGATAGCATGGTGGTTTTAAGGGCATTCCTAACACAGTTCCCTCTCCTTCCTCTCTGTAATTTCTGTAATGAAGGTGATGAAAGAGGGTTGCATATTGCTCACATTGAGTGTCTGATGGAAACACTCATAGATGTATTGCATTTGGGATGCTACAGGCAAGGGCTAAAGGGCTCTTTAGAAGTGTGAGAGACTTGAGTGATGCTTTGCGATTGCTTTTATTAAATGAAAAAGAGGAACCATGCACTGTCTGACCACTTTTTAGGATAGAGTAGGGAGGACAGTTGCTATTGACTATGCCCAAAACTTTGCTCATCTTCCCACCCATTAGCACTGCTTCTTCCTCTCCATTTTAGGAAACAGTCAAACCCTACAGACTTCCTTTATACTCCTAAGGCATTCCAGGTGGCTTTCTTTCCTCCATGGGATCTAGGTTAGAACGTTTATGGCCTTTCAGGAGACCCCCTTGCTCTTCAGAATGGCTGAGGATTCTTCTTTTTTCCATTTGAACATCAATTTTAGAAAGGGGTCTGTCCAGTCCCAAAAGATACTGCTCTCCTCCCTTTTCCCATATGCATTCTGAATAACTCAGAATCACACCTGCAGGCACCAGTATTGGCCTACAACTCACCATGTTCATAGCGGAGAAGCAGAGCCCAGCCACACTTCAATGACAAATTTGAGTCTTTCAGGAATTAGTGTCCTCAGTAATGTCAAACTTCCTGACTCAG